CGAAATTTTTGTGGCCGAGTTGATTTGTGGCCGAGTTGACTTGTGGCCGAGTTGACTTGTGGCCGAGTTGACTTGTGGCCGAGTTGACTTGTGGCCGAGTTGACTTGTGGCCGAGTTGACCTGCACCCTAATACCATACTGCTGTAGAGTACATAATAGAGTGCACTGCAATGCTATATTGCACACTATAGGAATAGTACCATACTGCTGTAGAGTACATAATAGAGTGCACTGCAATGCTATATTGCACACTATAGGAATAGTACCATACTGCTGTACAGTACAATAGAGTGCACTGCAATGCTATATTGCACACAATAGGAATAGTAGCATACTATAGTACTAAAGTACTATGCAGTACTATACAAACATCAAATGCTTTAATAGTCAATTATTACCTAATCACAGACAGTATTTTACTTACCAACCCATTACTACATCCATTCGTAAAGAACTTTACCTTCTGATTTGCATGGCTTAGTAATAACACAGTCTGTTCATCTGAATCAGACTCGTCTGACATGTTTTTGTTTGGCCTGATACTACATACATGTATGCAAGCAAGCCTGCCAGTTAGACTTCGATCTGTGTTACACTGAAATCAACAGAGCCTAACAAAGATACTGCATCAGTGTGAAGGACTGTTTGCATAAAATTAGACTGGCTGAAACTGCAACAACCAATACCTCTTGAGCATTTACAATCAGTAGTGGAATTCATTTTGTAGATGAATTCATTCTTGTGACAAATTGATCCTCTATGCACGTGTTTGCAGTAGATGAGTTAAAGGGGCAACGTGACGTATTCTCAACAACATGCAGACTATCACAAGCACAGGATTAAAACAAGACAAATCTATAACCCTGGTTCTTAAATTATTTAATTAAAGGGTCAACATATTTGTTTTCAGTTAAGCTAACGGGCCAAAGATAATATTTGAGTCATGAAGCAATGTTTTTGGTAATTTTAAATTCTACTTTTTATTCTGCTACGCAACAATATTAGGGCACTGCAAATAGAAACTCTGTAAATTTAAGTCAAGCATATATTAATAATCTGTTTACACAATAGCTGTCTATGTCATAAAGAGAATGTTAAAACAATAAGAAACTGTATTCTGTTTATTAACAAATGTTAGTAGTATAAATAAACATTTAAAAAAATTAATCTGCATAATTTATATAACGGTAAGTTAACATAATGTTAATATTGATAGTTAAATTCATTCCTAAATGGTTAAACAAGTTAAATAACAATTAACTTTAATGAACAACAACATTGAATTTCATATAAAGTAGGTGTAAGTCTTAGAAGAGAATCACTAAAGGTCACTCTGAGGAAAAACACTGAATAATAATAATATCAGTAATAATAAAAACATCATGTCCTTCCTTTTGCCGCTCCTTGCCAGAAATAATATTTCCGCTCCTTGCCGGAGTATTAGCTGAAGCAGCAAAATATGGGTGTATATATAGAACGACTAGGAAATAGGTGTGATATTGTAAAATTTCAATCGCAAATAATTAATTTCCTAGTTTAAATTCTCAATCACTTTTCAATTTTTCTTGGTATTCATTGGGAAAACTAAGAGGAAAAATATCGAAAAATACTGGGACAAGATAGCTAGGAGTAAATAGCCAGGGAAAATAGCTGGGAGGAAAAATTCCAGAGTGGAAAAAAAATATGAGGGTGGCAAGCTATTTTCTATAAAGTAAACCTAACACGACCTCAATTTTTAGTCTACTCACTTATCAAGTCTTCCCAGGCTTTTTCAGGTGTAGCTAGAAATTACTATACAGTACTAAGATTTGGCGTCATTTGATAGTCGTTAAACATTTTTTAAAGCCTGTTTTCTACTAGGCGAATTTATTCGTGGGAATCGAAGGCATCAGTTCGGTCCCTGAGCTCTGATTGTTTGCACACTTTTTTTGTTTTGCAAAAAGTACAAACATGAAGCAAAAACTCCGATAGAAATGTGAATGGGCATGCGCATGAACCAACACTTTCGACTCGGGCGAATAAATTCATAAGTGGAAAACAGATTGGGTTGCGTACAAACCTAACGTGCACATTTTTATCTTCTATTCAATGCACGATCGTTGTTTATGTATTAACTTATAATGGGAAAATTATTTATCAAATCATTTCCTTTTTATTATTAATAGGCGTGCCACCGATTAAGAACCAGGGATCTATAACCATGGAATAATCATGAAAAATGAATGATTAATAATGTAGCATTTTTTTTAGAATTAAAGGGGTAGTGATCATTACTTCAGGTTAAAGGGCCAATGAGAGTGACAAGTAGATACTCAATAAAGCATTATTTATTTTTTTTCTTCATGATTTTATTTCGATAAAGGTACATAAAATAAGGTTGAAACAAACCTAAAAACCCCAAAAAATAAAAGTTGTCAATTTAACTCAAATGCACACATATATTATAATGTATATGCAAATAATGAAATTGTAATGTATTCACAAGTCATACAGGGAAAAAGATAAAGCATTATAAAAAGTGCTTAGAGAGACGATCAACAACTAAAGTGAACAAAATGTTGTATTCTTCTTAGTTCAGGATTAAGAGACATGGAAATGACAAGTGGATAGTCAATGGTGCATTAAAACATGGGCTTAAAAGGACAATTGATAATTGAAAAGTAAAAAATTCAAACCTTTTTCATTTAAACAGCTTATGAAAATTAATTCTTCGAGGGGAGTTCTCTTGAGAGAAAATGCAATAAGTTTGTTTATCCAGTATGTATTCACAAGTATACATACTCTATATTTTTAATTAAATTTATATTTTCAATTAAATCAATTAATGTGAGATATTATGTTAGATTATAATATAAAGAAAAATAAAACAAAAATTGATAGAAAATAATTCCCCCAATAAAGTGTGTGATTATACTAAGCCCAACAGTTTTGGAGAAAGACAAAAACATGAGTCTCCATCCCCTAAAATCCCCCTGGGGTCATGCACAATGCTTTTTACTGACGATTGCATGGTCAATGCACTTAGACCTGATGTGTTTATATACTTTTCTCGATCTTATCTGAAATACTCAACTCTTATCTGAAGTGCTTCAAAATTAATTTACCTGCGGTGATGGAACACTTCCCTCTGCAACATATGGCGCTCTTCTTACAACCCCATCGGTGCTATTATCAACAGATGAGCTCATCAGTGCCGTATGCTCGTTAGAACTATCTTCTGAATCACTCATATACGTGAAAATCAATATACGCGAGTACACTCGCGTTTCAAAACTGTAAGCTGTTTTGGGTCTGAGCCTCGCTCTGATATCCGGTAGCTGTAAGTAAACATTTAAATCCCATTAAATTTTATTTTTGCTTGAAAACTTCACAATTTTGCGACTTACAAGTTTATGTAAAATGGCAGTGCAACAGTTTATGTGGGTATCCTGAAATGCTTTTACTTACATTTTTTCTGTTTTTATTTACTAATCTACTACTTGTTTTTTGAATCGTTTTGCACTGTTTGCACTTTGAGTATAAACTGATCGGAAGAACGAAGACGATGACTAGGCTGATAAGTAGAAATACTGTAAGGTCTCGGAAATGTTGAAATCAATGAATGACCTCTAAGGTGACCTACAGTACATTATGAGCTTCCTAAAGCCAGACACTCACTGCAGCGTACAATCGTCGCACGACGAATTCACATTTGCTTCCGACGAGCGATAGACGACGCAACGCCGTCTGCAGATTGTCAGTGGCAATCTGAACAGATCCTCATTAAAAAGACAATCCGTTGGGTCTGCGTCTTCGCGTGCGTTCTTCTTCGCTTGCCGTCTAACGCAGTAAGTAACCACCTTTAGACAATTCGTAGTTACAGTAGCCCTATCCAAGGTCATTCAATAGTAACCTAAGTTGTGTGTATGTTTATGTACATTGACCTTGATGCAGCCAGGCACAGTTCTAACTACATTTTAATGCTGCAAAAGTAAATCATCCTGAAGTCGCCATCCTCTGATTGGTAGGGATGTACCACACAGCATTAATATCCTCTAAAGCCAAATAAAATTATATTTAAAATTTAAGGTTGTAATTTTCATTACCCTATCAGGCCTGGTATTAAAAAAAACAAAAAAAAAACATGTTTTCCAAGGTTAGTTTTGTTTTTTTTACAAAGGAAGCCAAAGAACACATACACAGGTTACTTATCAACTCTAGGCCTATAATTTACCCACAGATATTATTTAAATTTTACATTGCTTTAATGACAATGATAATTAGGAATAGGCCTAACAGTTACATTTTCTCTTTCTGTTTCTTAGTTTTGGTAATTGCCTATTAATTGTTGCTCCCCTTTCACTTTTTTCTAGAATTTTCTGGAAAGTGCATAGAGGCCCTAGCAGTATGCGCTCGATACAAGCACAATTACTAGAACTAGAATTCTGTACAATTTTTTTGTAGAATGACGCTTTATATAAAAAAAGATATGGCTTATATTAATAAGTTGATGCTGGATAAAAAATGTTATATCTATAATATCATATAATTAAACCAATGCAGTGTAATAGAATTACCACACTGTGACGTCACCTTAGGGGGTCATCCATTGTTTTCAACATTTCAAGCGTGCAATACTATTTTTTGTGACTTTCCTCATCACTCCTGATAAGAGTACACAATAAGAATTTGATTGATATCCATTTGCGACCGTTAATCATTATACTGATTCTATTCCTTAAATCAGTATTCTCTTCTTAAACGTAAGTGAGACAATTTGAAATTAATATTAATCACTTTCATATCCAGACTCAAGGTGATGACAGCATTAATTTAAACTGTAGAGGGCAGCATAATGCCATTACTGAAAATCAGTTCATAAAATTCTAGGAAGTTTAATAATGAATCCTGATAAGAGAACACAATAAGAATTTGATTGGTATCCACTTGTGACCGTTAATCATTATACTGATTATATTCTTCAAATCAGTATTCTTTTTAGAAACATAAGTGAGACAATCTGCAATCAATATTCATCACTTTCATATTCAGACTCTAGGTAATGACAGCATTAATGTAAACTGTAGAGGGCAGCACAATGCCATTTTTGAAAATCAGTTCATAAAATTCTAGGAATTTTAACAATGAATTAAATATAGTCATTCCTTTTAAAGTCTGTCAGTACAGTAACTTGCTTCCACTTAGGGTCTCTTCGTGTCTGAGCTACCAGGTAAACCGGTACCAGTTACTATCGTCTGTCCACAAAAGAAGCTTAAACTTAGTTAACCTTTACACCAGGGTAAACGGTTTATACTCCATAACCGAGAAGACTTTTCCACCACCAGAACCATTAGGGAGCTTGCCATTCGAACCAGCGTCGATATTATGGCTATAAGTTACGGTGCCTGCCTTAACCACTTGGCCATCCAACTCCCCAAAACAATATGAGTAAATTAATTAATTAGTTAACGTAATAAATCATCATACTTTATTTGTATTCTTTATTAGTAATCTCCTTCTTCTAGTATTAATTTGTGTTCATCAGATTTTCACACCATGGTAGGGCTGAGGTGGGTGTATCGACTCACAAAATGTCCCCCACCCTTTCAAAACAGATCTGTGCTCTTGCTACATTCTACCCTTTAAACCATACACGTAAAGCTAGCACAATTGCGCAACTACAAGCAACCAGGTAGAACTAGTTGCCCAAAGCGTTTAAGTTGATTCCAACTGTTTATAAATGTACAGCTTTGCACTGCAACGCTATTATAATTTTATACAAAGGTAATGCGTGTGGCACATGTGAAGTTAGCAGACTTGAATTATTGGGGTACTAAACTGTTACATGACTATTCAGTAACTTGTCAGTTGGTTTGAATTGTGGCAAAGTAGAAAACATGGGCAGACTATTAATCAGTCTAACCTTGAGATTTCTGGATACAAATTCTGTTCTATTTGTTGCGCGTAAATTCTGTTTTTCACAAAGCGATTCATTCGTCCCATTTCTATCAGCCAAACCTTCTATAAAACAAATTCTCTTAGTTTTTCACTTCCTGAGCTTCCTTCCTGTTAGAACTGATTTCGTTGAAGCAAAAAATTTCCATTGAAATGTTAATGCGCATGATCCAACGCTTTTGATAAATTTGGCTAATGTCAAAGATACTAGAAATACAAGATAGAGCACTTGCATAGCAAAAATGAGGCGGAAATTGGTCGAGACGTATAATGCAAGTTTTCTACTTGGTCCAGGCGTATTAGGGCTCCCTTCCATTGCTAGGTATAACCAGACGCACACAGCGCCCTTCTTTTTCCACTAATGGAGGAAAACTTTATCAATAATCATAGTCCAGTCATACGATTCTGCGCTTTTGTGTGTCATTTTATTGTTTTGATTTATTTATGCCTACTTGTTTGTATCTTATTGATAATGGCAACGATTTCAACCTCCGCAAAAGGAGGTTATGTATTAACAGTTGTGTAACGGTTGCAGAGTTCTTTTTTAGCTCCAGCCATACTCAGCGCCCCATTGTTTGCATTCCCACTATGCATTTCGGTGGAACAGTTTTTTTCTGTGGAGAACTCTATTTTGTTTTTCTATTATATCTTTTGCTTTTGTGATGATTAGTGAGGGCGCACTCTAACCTATAATTGATAGGCAAATTCGAATTAGGCTAGGCCGGCCTTACGAATACCCGGCCTTACTACAGTAGGCCTAGGCCTAGACTTATTAATTAATTAGCCGGTTAATTTAATATACACTAGCCTATGCAAATTAAAAAACCAATAATTAAATTCATGCTAACGAATTGGTAAGTGAAAGACACATTTTATAAGTCACATTAGATCAATTTTAATATAAACATCTTAATAAATGTTCAGGCCTCAGGCCTAGGCCAGGTCTGGGCTATGCGCGGGCCCAGTGTCTCCTGCTCGCCTTTACCAAGTTGTTTCGAATGAGTTGAACGATCGGGTTTCTTTCTACTTCCGTACTGTGTGCCAGCGTTAAACACCACAAAATTCATTAATTTGGGCTTCACAGAGTTTTAAAACTAAACAAAATACATCATTAATTTACGATTTATCTATGGTACAAAAATAATGAAATTCAATAGTTGAAACATACCTTTAACCAATATTATTAATGCTAGATATTATTACAGTTTTCAGTGAAGCTATGACTCACAAATTATAAACATCGCGGATGCTTTGTGGTTTGCAAGAGATTATGATAGAGGGCGACAGGCAGTAATCACAGATCGTCGGGGTGTACCTTGTTCGTCAAGTTACAGCTATTATAGGTTTAGTTTTATATGGTAGTAATTTCTATTTCTGTTTTTTTTTAACTTGGATTCGTGTGCCACTGTTTCAAAAGTGATATAAATTGAATTGAAAGTTCAGACAACGTATTGCACTTTCGTTCATTGTTTTCGATGGTCTAATGCAATTGTTCAGAATATGACAGACCCTTTTACTTTGGATTTAAACGTAATCAGCTCCTTTGATTAGTGAATGTCACGTGTCGTTTGATTTATACACCATTTAATAGCAAACAATTTTTTAAATTTGCATCTTGTCTTTTAGTTTTATTTCCTTTTGTTCCATTACATGCTTCTACTTTGCCTAATACATATACATGTTTTCAGTTGGACAAAAGGTAAGACAACTTTATTTTCCAAAAAAAAATATATGACAAGAACCTATTTTATGTGTATTATGATATTGTATGCAATTAATGAATCTGATCGGTGCAACCGGGAGAGAACATTTTAATGGGTGAAAATATTCTTCCAAATGCACTTTATAAGTATACTGTCCAACATAAATTAAATAAATGTTTTGATAGTTTCAGGTAGCAATGGTGATACAGTGATACCAACAATGCAGTGATCAAAGTCTTACCAACTTTATTCTAAGCCTATACTATACATTAAAGAGGACGAAATCTAATATCTTATTCCAGCGTGCCTCTCGTTAAAAGGTTCACTGCCGTCAAAACTTAACCAGAGGCGTCACAAAAAGTCCCCTTCAGAAAAAGTATGTGACCTTTGTCGGTGTGCACCCCAACCCCGACGAGCTTGTTGGTTCTCCTGCTCCTGTTGGATGAAATTTACATCGCCTTAAAAACAATCCTCAATAAATAAACTTGGTAAATATTGGCCTATGTCTTATAGCCATAACAATTGACACTCACTGTATAATTAGACTGATTTAGTAACTGACATAAAATTGAAAATATTGATTCAGGGTATTTATTAGAAAGGATGACCGATGAATCTCTCGTTTCATGTGCAAAAAAAATAAATTTGTCAGGTCGTTAACAAATTGTTCTGGGAGTCATTGTCTAAGAATAAAATTACAGTGGAGAGTATACCCCCCCCCCCCCCCCACCCAACCCCCCCCCCACCACCCAACAAACCCTCAAAGATTGGAATTTTCTGCCCCACCACTATCGACACCCAACACCTCAACTCTGCCAGCTGGTTTTTAACTTTTTTTTTTCATTACCTTTACTATGAAAGACCAAATCCGTCAAATTACGTACCAATAATAAAATTATTTAAGAAAAGTCAAATAAGTCAAACCAAAAAAAGCATTCAGTTACAAACAACATTCATTTTAAACAGTCAGCAATTTCAAATTTAAACAGCATTCGATTCAATCCAATCTGTGAAAAATCGAAATCATTCGAATATCTTCTTTTCCACCAAAAGCTACTATAAAAAATATAGTATGATTGAATAAATACTGTAATCAATATATGATTAACCGTAGGGCTAATTACAAATCTAACACTAGTAATCATTAATTTATTTTCATAATAATTATCAGCGTCTTGCACCAAGAGTTCGTGAAAACGTATTGGCGGCGAAGCAATTTTCAACGCTCCACTTTTTCTATCGAACTTTAAATTCAATTTTATTTCAATATTATTTATTTGAATAAGGGGTTTTTGTAAGCTTACAAAACAATAAAAAATATAAATATGCCTTCGTCATTTGTTTGTCGAAGTTCGTCATTCGAGCCAACACAGAGAATAAACGAATTTAATACGATCGATTATTAAAATGCTGTGAAAATTAATGGACCTTTCTGAAGTGCCAATTCAACTGACAAAACAGAACGTGTTATTCATTTACCATGACTACGCGCATGTCCCACAAACCACAAATTTACGTTCACGCCGTCGTTTTGGTTTAGCAATAATATCCAAGAAAGTTTGTGGAAAGGTCCATTTTAAATGGGGATGGATCAACTCAAAATTCTAAACTTCATGAAGTAAAAAGCAGTATTGATTACAGCTTTTTATAAGCTTACAAATCAACCCTAATTTAAGATTTTCAAACCAAGCGTTCGTGCTCTGCAGGGGCACGAGTTGGAGGCGAGGCCCATGTTCTATAGGTTGGTTGTTGGCTAATTTCCTGATGAGCAGCTTGGATGTCAATAGAGCGGGAATGTCGCGTGCAGACAGACACCAAAACCAGGAACAGTAATGCTACGATTCCTGCAATTCCTATGGCAATATATAAAGCCAGACGTGTCTCCGACTTCGAAAGTAGATTATCTGGAAAAAAAATTATCAAATGTTAATATTGATATAGGAGTCAATGGCGGATCCAGAAATTCGAAATAGAGGGGTCCCAGGTAGGGACTTTACGGATGGGGAGTATAAACCGCCTCAGGCCCACCATGGGTGGGGCTGAAGTAAGAAACTTTATGCTCGGCCCCTTGGATACGGCACTTGGAGTGGTGGGCAAGGCTGTTACAATTTAGGCTTTCAACGTTACGATTTTCCCTTTGTGCCCTAATATGTAGTAGGTGTAGGTTGAGCCTAACTCGATTATACGACCTTTCGAGAGATTATGACCATGGGAAGCGCTTTTTTAAAGAAATGGGCAATTTTATAAGTCTAATCGCGTTACAATAAACAGTTACAATCTTTTAAAATAAAAATTTAAATAATATATTTGAGTAAAAGCATAAGTCAGATACCTTTTTCTTCAGATTCAGTTGTGTGTATAGTCGTAGGTATAGTTGATTCTGTTGTTTCATTATTTGATGTAGTCTGCATGGCCGTTGTATGGTTCTCATTCAGTGTCGTTGTTTCTGTTGTTGCTACGAGCGTCGTCGAGTTCTTTGTTGCATGGAACACAGGTACTGCAAAATTTCTTTTTGACGAATTTCTAGACGGATGAGGTAGCATATCTAGAAACCGCATTCCTACCTTCCATTTGGTTGTAGTGTTGTGGAACTCGTAAGTTAACGTGTTACCTACGTTAACGCGTTTGTGCGTTAATGGTTTACCGGTTTTGAACGGTTCGTCGGTAAATACTCTGCTTTGGTAGGTCAATGTACTATCTCCTATGATTTCACCTCCACTATGTAATGTTGCAAGAGCTGGTGTAGGGGATGCCGTTGGTAAGTTACTATCAGGTGGTTTAAGGAGAAACCTTTGCTGAATCCCAGTTTCCATGGCAGAATCATTTGCATCTTTTGAATTATTTTGAAGAACCGCAGCAGTGGGCTCCATCAATTTTCTTAATGGACTTTGTGTGACTGGATGATTCTCCCTCTCAAATTCATTAGTTGTTACAGTAGTGTAATACAGCAAATGGAAACCTCTTCCGAAACCATATTGTGTAAAAATGACAATCTTGACGTCACTCGAATTTGTGAAAAACGTCATTGGTGATGTCGGCCCACACATCCGCCGGAGTATTTGAGAATCTGGAACTGAGATTATATCTAGGTGACCGTACATGGGTTCACATTCATTCGGCAGAGAATAGTGGTTGATATCGAAATCTAAAAAATCAATAACAATAGTGCCAGCATCACCGACGGAAATACTCCATCCACATTCCATATTTGATGGGTAAGAGTGTGGATAACCAGGTGATTTGATACTTCCGTTGAAAGAACGGAGAACCATGTCACAGGGGAATTCGGTGGTTATTTTGGTATCAGTGTTTTCTATTTGAGGAGTGTTAGTCTGGGGTTCAAGTTTACTTAACCGAAATTGCGCCTTTCTTGAAAATGTGGTGATATCATCAGTATATTCATGTTGCAGCTGATCAGTTAAAGTGGATCTAGGGGTTAGTCGATCAACCGAATTTGTAACCATTTGCCCAAGTGGACGAAACATTCTGAACCCATCGGCAAATGGGTTCACTGCTGTGTACTTAAACTTTAAATTTGAAGAACGTAATTTTTTAATTTCGAGATAATTTGAAGAGGAGAGGAATGCATTTTCCCTTATGACACAAGAGTCCACTTCAAACGGGAGTTTGTCTTGAAAGTCCACAACGATTAGTTCATTACAGTCAGCCACTTCCGTTTCTTCAAAAGTGAGTAAAATTACCAATTGGCTATCTACACTGATTTGCCAAACGCATTCTGCGTGAACGTTATCCTGATCAAGATTGTTAAATTCCCCTTCTTTTTTTGACAATGTGAACAAACATGGAGGCCCTGTTTGTAGTTGTTCTGTTGTGTCATCAACGGGTTTGACTATCCTACGATCATCGAGCAGCATACTGACTGATGAATAATTTGCTTTGAATTTGGTATTTTCGTTCATATTGAACAATTTCAGTACAATGTTTTCCGAATTCGATATAAATACTGATGGACGCATTCCACAAAACACGTCGTCGATCTCCCGTCCAATATAATCTGTGTACGTCACAATAATATGAGAATAGATCGCCTCACATGATCCTTCCGAGGTCATGTCTGGCCGAAAATACTGAAACTCAAGATATAAATTATGATTAGGTTCTGAGAGGATATTCCAAATACACACTCCACTATGTTGGTACTGTTGAAACAATTCAGATGAAAATTTGACTTCGCCAGTTCCATTTCTTGAGAAAATGCAGCTGGACGACATTGTATTAGTCGCAGTCAAATCATTGGAAATGTACCTTGCTTTAAACCCTGTGCCAATGCCATTCATGCTGTAGAACTTAATGACAAGTTGTCCAAGAGATGTTATGGTTTGCAGATCCTCGTCCCCACAGTACCGTCCAACTTCGACAGTGCCGAATTCATTGGTTCGTAAAACCGTTACATAAGAGTATTTGGTATCGCAAATTACAGTTCGTGGTCCATCTAGATTAAATTCCGTGAAGTGTAAAGAAATTCTAGATGTCGAACTCGCAATTATATTCCATATGCAAATCAAATTATGAGGATAGAGACCGTCTTGGTTAACGGGGCTTCCAAATGTTCCAATTGTATCGGTTAATCTAAAGCTACAATCGGAGCTAACGTCTTCATTGTCTACGTACGAATCGATAATTCGTCGATGAATATTGTAACCTGGTGTCGTTGACTGTAAATCTTCATCACTGTAGCCATGTTCCACAAAATACTCTAAACCTTTACCAAGATAAATAGTTGAAAAAAGTCTAATCGGAATCGTCCTGTACTTGGCACTGAACCCCCTGCCGTACCCATTTAGACTCTTAAAGGTGATCGTCATCTGGTTTCCTTTCGAAACTATCACGACTGGCAATCGCTTACCGCAAAAACCTCTGGAAACAATGTTACCATCGCCGTTGTAAAAATGTATGATAACTTTAGAATACAAATCATCACAGATTTGAGACACAGATATCGAGTCTAAGTCGAAGTCCTCAAACAGTAAAATTATGTATTCGTCACGGTTGGCAAGTATACTCCACAAGCAGTTGATATTTGTAGTGTACTCAGCCGGGTAGTTTGGCGACAATATACTTCCTTCCCTGGCTTTCATTATTCGGCCACAAGATGGGATTACGTCGTATGGTAAGTTTTCATTAATTATTTCCTTAGTAACACCTGGTAAAATGAAACGCGACTGTATAGCTGGGTTGTCTTGGGTTGTATATTTTGCCTGAAAGTAGACGTCGGTTTCACTGTTAAGGTTTACAACAACTTTCATCGAATTTCCAAGCGATATTCTCTGAATAGCTTGATTTCCACAAAGCGGACTGCCTTGCAATGAGGAATCGTTTTTAACTAAAAGGATATATGCACGGGAAGGGTCACAAGTTCCGTCCAATTTAGACGGACTAAGATTAAACGTCAAATGTAAAGTAATAGTTTTCCAGGGTTCAGTTAAAATGTTCCAAATGCATTTTCTCAGAGGCAACGGATCCCTTAACAGTTCGCGTGATGAAAACATACCTTGCGTTTCAACGAGGTTTTTTATACATGGACCGCCAGCTTGAAGTACAAGAAATGCATCATTTTCTGATTCCGAGGTCGCAGACCTGACTGTGGGTGGTAGAAATGCGTCAGCTAATTCAATTGGAAACGCAATATTGCTTGGATCTGGAATAGGATACCGGTCAACTTCAGTGTAAACAGCAATAAAACCATCATTCGTTATTATGTCATTAGTTCGTAGAATGATTGACATTTGATTTGACAGCGATACTATAACTGGCGGTGGTATTAATCCACAGTACACGTCCACTTTGCGAACCATCTTATGCAACCAGTACATAACCTCTATGTAATCGTAAGAGCGGTCGCATCCAGTAATCTGTGGCACAGAATCTATTTTAAAATTGATGAACTTCATCGCTATCAATTTAGCAGGACGGACAGAGATGAACCATTCACAAGCTAAATTATTAGGATAAGCCCTAGGATAACCAGGTGAATATATTACTGAATTAACTGCAGTTAATTCTGTACTACAAACAAATTTCTCTCTTTGACTGAATTCGTTGCTTCCAAAATCATCAATTTCGTATGTTAAATCCAGTGTTTTTGAAAGAAGTTCTTCAATTTCGTTCAAGCAAGTATCGTTTGAAAAAATATTTTCAAATAAATGAAATTGGGCTATAAGATTAAATAAAGATTCTTTCACGTTGCTCAGGTATAATTGAAAAGCATCTTCCCTAACTGGTGTTTCATCAATACTTAAAAAATTCTTCAACTCTTGTAGTATCTGAAGTGATTCTTTCGTTTCAGTCAAAGATGTGTTCAGTTCTAAACACAAAGTTACCAAGTCCTCCTCGTTGAGAAATTCAAATATATCATCAATTCCTATATCTGGTACTTGGTCCGGGTAGGTATCGGTCGTAGTTCGTTTGTCAGTAATGTTGGCATCGGTTGTTAATGGTTCGTTAGATTGAGTGGGAATGGGAGCCAGGTCAAAGATTTTCCTAAATTCATTTAGTTTGGCATTGTAGGTAGCACTAACGTTTTCTAAACACTCACTGTTATCCAAATAATTCTGCTCTTCTAATATATCTGACAATACTCTTTGCACTGCTTTATCTGCCTGGGCTGCGAGCTGTATAATGTCGTAACCAGCTTGATGTTGAGAAACCAAGATTCCAACTTCCTGGAATATCCGCAGATTCCGTAAAGTACTAGAGAGTGTTTTTTCTAACAGGTCGCAGAGCAGAATTCCCTGAACTGTGGTGGGAACATTCAGAAATGGCTTGATAGTTATGTTACTTTTGTTTTGATGTCTAATAGTTCCTAGTTTAACAGCTTCACTTGTGGTTGATTCCGGAGTGAACAACTCATATGTTGTGGTACGGAAATGCTCATAGGGGTTATAATGTACCTCTGTATAATATTTTGTCGGCAGTAAAGAATCTAAGTTAGGCAAACTATCAGTGACACTTTGTTCAACTGCTGGCTTTGTAGTTAATTCTTCAACGTAAGATCCAGTTGTTGGGTCTGACTCTTTCTCCAGATTTGTTTTTTTCGAAGTTATCGCCCTACTTAACGATATTGACATGAACATAGGCAGGGGATTGTCTTTGGTATTCACCTCCCGCGTGTTTCTCGTTGTTTTATTCTCCAGGGTGGGTGTCATGAAACTGTTATCACTCTCACCCCGCACATCTGCTTCATTTACTCCTCTCGCAAGCGGATTTCCGTTTGAGATATTCTTTTGAATGGCAACAAATTGCAAAATGAACCCCAGACCTGCATTTTCACCATCGGACTGAAACTCCACACCAACAACACTGGAGTGTGAACGAAATACGGTTGAAATATTTTTCCCGCAAAATTTCCCAATAAAAACCCCATGCTTGTAACCGTCGTATAATGTAACGTGATCACCGTTGGAGCATTCTGGAGGGTAGTTTGGTATATCTAATAACGTAAGCCATATCTTAATGTTCTTGCTAAGTGGAACATGTATCCACCATTCACATGTTAGGTTGTTGCTGTAATTACCACTACCATCGGGAAACCTCAGAGTTCCTGATGCATTCTCGAATATATCACCACCACATTCTGAAATAATCAAACACTATGGTTCAATCAAACAATAGTCCTTTACCTAAACCAACAGATCACTTATATAAATTTTGATTAAGATAAATGTACTTGAGTGTCAGTAAAATTAAAAGTAATATTTTCTTTAGTAGCAGTAGTACACATGCATACTGTCAATCACACTAATGAAGACCAGAGGAGAACAGTTAAAAATATATTTATGCATAAATAAAATGATGTTTTACAAACTTTTCTCAGTTTCTGTTTGATTTCTGTCTTAATATACTTATGATCACATCAAGCGGACAACGCCGCTTACGCTATAATGTGATGATGAGAATTGGCAAATACCAGGTGAAGTTGTTCAAAAATGCCTAAGTATTTTTCCCCCGATTTAAAATCTGCTAGTAATGAAGAAGGAAAATATAACAATAAATAAAAAAAACGAAAAAAAAAATAGATCCAAAAAGTATTAATACCTGGTTCAGACGAGATCCATCACTCTGGGGTAAAATGAAGTCGGAAAATCTCTCCTGCTTCCTTAATATTGCACTTGTTAATGTGTTTAAAAGGTAATTGTAAAGAACAATTTGAAAACTTAAAAGAAAGGAGATTATAGGGCAGACATGGTTCATTTGTCAAGCTACTTCTCATCTTTTACATAACGTAAATAAAAAGAATACATGCGTTTAAATTATTTTAATAGATTAATTTTTAAATAAAAAGAATACATCAATCATCAGGTGCTAGGCTCTGAATTTTATATTGCTATGCCCCCGCATCGAGGCACTGTTTGCTAAATGATATATATAGGGCAAACTGTCAGTGTTTATCATAACCAATTCTTCTACACTAAGCTAAAACGAAAATCATTATCTTAAAAGACTTACGTATTTGACTTGAGTTCGTTGCTTGGCCATCTCCTTCAATGAAACTCTAAGAATGTAAACATGACAATTGTGTTTACGTAATTTGATGCTGCTGCAAATTTGCTTCGTATCATTATATAGACTCAATAAAAGCATATGGCAAAATTAAGATCCTTCATGAAGGCTTAATTGTCCATTAACATGAGGCCAGTGGTTATAAGATTATAATAAACACATTTAAAACAATCTGAATGTCATTGAAGACCTAAGACTGGTTGTCTGTAGACTAAAATTTAAGTCCCAAGATGAACATTTTGGGGAAACCCCTTTAGTAATAATAACAACATACAGTAAATTAACATAAAACAAAAAAATTAGCACGGAATCTTTGCATAACGTCTTTATACACAGTTTATGTTACATAGGCAATGAACCAGCAATAAAATGTGTCGATCAGCATAAACAATAATTTTAGGTCCAATATGTCATGTATCAGCTCTTCATTAACTTATGCAATCAAATCTTATTTGTTGTTGACAAATGTATATATACAATATACTGTATGAGTACTTACTTGATTTGATGTAGCCTCCGTTCGATCTGCCTGAGCATCCTTCGTCGATGATACACATACACACACAATATACAGCCACAGCAGCGTTGAAAAGCAAGAATGCATGAGGAACTGAACCAGCCTGAAATTGCTCTGAATGAGGTACCTTAACCGGACACTTTAATAGTTGCTTATGTATACCAAATAATCAGCACATTTTAACAGTGACACACCTATCAGTAATTATATTTTTGTATATTTCCTATTTCTCGAGTCTGGAAGAAAAAAAATAAACTTCAAATTGGTTGTATTGATAAACGATCTGAAGCAGTGACGATTAGGTGTTCGGCGTAATTTAATTTGCATAATGTAAATATTTCGAGTACAGGTGGTGGTCAAACTTTTGACCTTGTAAAATATCCCTTTGTTTTGTGAAATCTGAACAAACTCTCAACGATTAAATGAGGAAAAAAAATGGTATTCATCATTTGAAGGGATTAAATAAGATCTCAACTTACAATGCCATACGGATCAAAACTATACAATTTACCTGGCAGACATGTATCCAACACTTTCGAACATTGATTTTTATAAGCCAACTTATGGTCCTTACAATATGAAAGGTTATTGGTGTTTCCTTCCTTAGCAGAAAAACCATTTTTCTTCTATCCTGTTTTCCCAGGTTTTTGCACAGGTTTTTTTTTCTGGCCGGCACTTTGGTCACTTTCCGTGCTTGGATCTCCTTCGAACTTTGTCCAAGCAAATGCATCAAATGATGTGCATATTAAATTGACTGCACATCAGTGTATACACCACTATCAATCAATCAATCAATCAACCAACCGATATAACTTGTATATCGCCAAAATCCATCACTTAAAGTAATGTTTCGTGGCGCTGAATGACGAGTGCACAAAATGGTTAATCTCATTATCAAAATTTAATCAGTTTAAATGTATTTTTTCTTCAATAATGATACTAATAATTGTAATAACAGCGTTGTCGATTGCTATTATTGTGATGGTGATTTTAGTTTCTTTTTGGAAATTTATATCATTTATGGCAGTTCTTTATGTGAAGAGGTGTTCTATAAAACATGAGTTGCACATGAAAGTGATCGTCTGCCATATGTAGGCCTATATAGTTTTCACTTGTATATTATACGATACGATATTACTTTACTATTTTCATTTACAAACCAGCAAATGAGAGTATATTTATTGAAACAGTAAACTTAATTTAGCATAAATATCAACGATGGGGTAATTTAGTCGTACTTGCGGCAATAAAGCGCCTGACAATTTTCAATGTTTTCGACGAAAAACACAGTTATCTTTGCTATATAACGATTCGAAATTTGCTGTTTATGGACTTACTGTGAAGTATTTTTCGTTGTCTGTTAAATTTTGGCAAACATTATTGCTAGTTGATATAATTCAAACTAGTTTTTAATCTAAAACACGATATTTCTACATAGGCCTATGACTTCTATTTCGAGGATTCACTGAAATCATAAAAGACTAGGCCTATACTACGGGAAAACGGAATGAATTTTTAACTTTCTTTGTGTTGTGGGGGTGGTTTTTCTAAGTTATACTTGCTTTTAATTGAAAGTTAGTAAAAAGAAAGTACTCTTTACTGCCACTCAATAGATGCATAGATATTAATAATGCCATTTCTACATTGTTTGCACAGACCATTAAATTGGTTGCAAACATTATGGGAGGTTTTCATTGTAATTATTCATTCAATTAATCAATAAAAATGTATTTGTTTCAATCGTAGTAATCAATGTTTTAATTTCATTTTTCAGATGTTATGATACTGTCTATATCTATCCATACAACAGGTAATGTCACAAAATGCAGTGTATAAGGATATCAAAATAAACTGTCTAGCAATTTGCAGTTAATAAGGTGGACCAAAAATGTAATCTGCTACAGGAATAAAGCCAGAGACATTATGAACATACCAACAAGTTTTGATTGCGCAAAGATCTGGACGTAATAACGTCACATAGTCACCTGCGCACACAAAGATCGAGTACATGGCTTGGGCCGAGAACGGTCACAGTTGAGTGAATTAGTTTCAGAGTAATATTTTCGCAATTTTATCAAAAGATCAATATTGTGTATTTTTCCAGTGTTGTGCATTCTTTTCCATTCATTAATTCGTTAAGTTGCACTGACCACATTCACAGTTATCAGCCATCCTTTTCATAATCAGAATCCTGTTCTCTCAAACTCATTCCTTCTACATAATTATTCAGATGTAGTCACTGTTATGTAGTTATTAATGAGTATCCACATTTATTAACCATATCCCTACACTCTTCTTTTTAATCAATTGCTTAGTTAATTCAATGCTACATATACAATTTAATGTATTTATAGTGTTTATGCAACATTAATATTTATAATGTAATAGAAAGATTAACCACATGTTCTAGGCTTGGACAACATGTGCATGTAGTTTGCAGCGTACATGAAGTCTGGTGAATGTGATGCTGGTTTCACTAGTCACAAGCCTAATTTAGAAACAACAAATAAAATGTGTTTCGTAAGAGAGACGTCCTACTTAAGTAGTCTAACTTAGCAGGAGGAAAGCGTGGCGTGATCTTCCTAATGTGTGAATGACACTCTGAAATTCTGACTGTATTGTTCACATAAGAATTTCCCTTATTTGAAAGAAAAGTGCTTTTTTCACCTAGTTCAATTGCTAATACAGCTACTGAGGATCATTAAAAAGCACACAACAGTCAGGTGACCAGTACATTACAAAAAAAGCTATTTCATTACTATGTCTTCTACTGTCTTTTGTCATCTTCCAATTTTAATAGTTTTTTCCTCCTTACATGTGACAAATACAATGTCACCTTCCAAAAAAAAAATAAATAAAAAAATAAAATAAACCAAGATCTACAACAAAAGCACTTGATCTAAATACTCAGTTCAATATATAAGCACAGTAAACATAATGTAGATTATTTAATTATATTGCAGGCTAAATTTGTACAATTATACAATACCCGCTAAGTGAAAAGATCAGGTGTCTTAAATATTACATTAATTTTCATCTCTTCATCATAAAGTCTCTTGGTAATGTATCCCTTGTGATCATAATAGTATTGTGTTAAAAATGCTTTTATCTGTACACATATATGCAGGAGTTTACATCTATTATATAGCAAGCCGTTTTGTCCATGCCTATTTTTTTATATTCAGATTCACTAAATGGTACGTTATCAAATGTACAACAGAACCCTATGTACGGCACATTCACACAAAATATCGCGACAAATTTTAACAAATCATCTCTTTTCCCTAGAAAATGCTAATTTAAGAAATGAAAAAAAAAAAAAACAAAAAAAAACCACATAGATGGATATATAAATCAAGATATAATATACATATTGTTATTAAACGTCAACAAGTTGCCTGTATGTTTGCAACTGCTTGCCTTTTATCAACATTATCTTAACAATTGAGCTCTATACAAGTTGAATTAGTTAATTGAAAATCAAGCATTTACATTTTTGGATAATATGCCTTAAGGGAACAAAATAACTGAAGAATCTTAATAGACCTAAATAATAGTATATACTGTATATCATGCTTTGAAAATTCTTAGGCTTTAAGTCATCATTTCCTGTCTTCTTCCCTCCTTCAGATATATCATTGAAACTACTATTCTAAAAACTAAGGTTTACACCAACATCCTCCCATCTACACAGTTTTCATCTGTTTTCAACCAAATCAGTTAAATCAAAAAAAATATATATATAAAATACCAATTTTACAATAAAGAAATCCAAATTAAGAGTGTTAACAATGGGTATTTCCAGGAAAAACCGTCTTAAATCACTACTTGGCTTATTCGTGATGTAATAGGTTGCGATTACAAATAAAAACCTCCCAATATAATTCCATTGTTTTCGGAATTAAAAAAAAAAACAAAAAAAAAAATGAATAGTGGACAAAAATCTAAGCAACAGTCACTCAATGTGAAAGATGATGTAATTTGTAAATGAACTAAGCTTTCAATATTTGTATCTACTACTCTATCTAGGTTAAACTGATGGAGGTATCAAATTTACGACAGTAAAGTGCACCATGAATGTATATACTCAATAAAATATGTTATTTTAATTTTTTTTTGTCAATAGTCTTTTTTCCAGTTTTTACACACGTTCCTAGTGTGTGACGAATCATTTAAGGGCATTTGGAATGTTTGTGGGATTAAGAAAGCATACCAATAACAAATCAGCATTTGTTAAATCGCGTGACATTTGCTTCAGGACCAAAGTGACAAGAATAAGCTTAGTGCATAAAATCAACAAGCTTTTAAAGTTTTAACAACATTGCAGATCATTTCAAACTGTGGCTCAAAATATTTACAAATACACAGGACTTCTACTAGCCATCTCGTATTTGCTCCAGAATCAAATATCACGTGCATATAAACCATCCACAGAAAAAAAAAGTTAATTAATCAACAGAATTGGAAGAATCATTTATACAAAGATATATTATGGCATTCAAACTAAGAATTACTTTATCTTAGTTAAATTACAGTAAGGTCCACCATTCAAACAACTGCAACTTATGAAATAACATTGTGTATTAAGCAGACCTAGGTATTCAATACTAATTGAGTATTTGGTTACTGTTATGTAATATGTACCCACAGACATATATATCTGTGTATGTGTGTGAGTTTGTGTATCTGCACACTCCAATATATTTACATAACTATATAATACACATGTACACATATACATACGTGCATACATATATCTATGTTAATATAAATTATACTAAATTTGTTACACTATCCTTAGAATAAGGTTATCAAAGGTCCATTATTATTAATAATTTTATCATGGTAAACATTTTTTTTTTTATCAAACAAGCTGGACAAGGCTAATGATCCGGACAGAAATTGGGAGAGAAGAGGGGTTTCTGGAGATAAAAACAGATCAGTTGTTATTTTTTTTACTTCGGGTGTGATAGCAAATTACAATGCGTTAGACACCCATCAACATTGACGACAAAGTCTATGCGCGAGCCAATCGGATGTTGCTTGAGTTATTTCAATTTTTAAATTCTACGCTTAAACTGTCCCGGCAACTGTCGCTTAAGAACAGCAGCCGCCGCTGCTCTGATTGACTGGCGTTCCTGGCGTTACCTTCACTGCTCTAGAGGCCTCTGATGACGGTACACTGCCGGGTCCCATGCGGTTTTTGATTTCAGCAGCCATTGTCATGAATGCTTGTTCTACATTAGTTGCGTTCTTTGCACTAGTTTCAAGGAATGGTATCTCAAGCTGGTCAGCATATTCCTATAAATAAAAATAATATCAAAGTTCAACTTATTAGTCATATACTGTAATGAATACAATACATGAAATATGCTTTCCTGGTACAATATAAAAGATTACCAAAATATAGAAAATACAAAAACACAGATTGCACAGAATAACACACACTGAAAATATATAGAAATAGAGCATCAAAATAGACTATTTAATTTTAGAAATTTTGTTCACAAAATAAAGTTTCACAATTAGGCAATACTTTTTTAATTCCTTGTTTCGCGTACTTATTTTTTTTATAGATTATCGGAGGAGGACAGAATAAAAATAAAAATAAAATTTTGTTTTTGTGTTTAGCAAATAGTTTTGACAAAATCATCCAGACGGAGGAGAAAATGAAAATAAAATTGTATTAGTGAATGTAAAATTAGGATTTTTACATAATTAGGAAGAAATATACATATCTTATCTTTGAAGATTTCAAGGCAGCGGAGTGCGTAATAAAAATAAAGAAAAAGTTTAATTTTTTTCTGAAATTTCCACACTTTCGTGGTGGCTGGTGTGCTAATTAACCAAAAATAAAATTTTATTTTTATTCGAAGTCATCAATATTTGAAGTCAGCAGGCTCGCTAAACAAGGTATAAAAAAGATCTTGCCTTAAAAACTAAAAAGTGGTCACAAAATATTGTTTTGTACTTTTGTAAGTGCATGATTAAACCCTAGTTAAAAAAACTTTAAAGTGCGCACAAGTTAGATGTGTACGCTGATCCTCCGACACTGAGTACGAGAAGACTTGGTTCTACAGGCTGAACCATACTAAAGAGGGACTCGAACCAGAGCCAATGCACTGTGCACTCCTACTTTACCACTCAACCATTTGCAATGTAGAGAGCTTAGAAATTAATAGTTGCCCTATTCTGAATGTAATACACTTGCGCACATGTAATATTTCTTGGAAAAGTATTATCAGGAATGTTTTGTTTACATAGCCTTATTGAGTATGATAAATGAAACAAACAAATTTTACCTTAGCTGTTGTATAATCCACAACCTTCTTTGTTGTCAAATCACATTTATTACCGACAAGTAATTTGTTAACATTTTCTGACGCATAACGATCAATTTCTTGTAACCATTGTTTTACATTGTTGAATGATTCCTGCAATGATACAAATAAATAGTTAGCAATGTGTCCGTTTCCTGATAGAAAACGCTAACATTGTAAGACTACTGGAAGATGCAAAGTATGTGCTTGTCCCACAAACACAAGTATGGTCCCACAAATACATGTGTGTACATAACAGGGAGCACAACACGGTAGAATCTAGAAAGTAGTGACATCACTAATATTTCAACTGTGCATGCAAGAATGTTAATTCTCCTTGTCGTGTGAATTCTAGGATGCAATTTGGCAAAATTAACTTTTTGTGCAGAGAACGTAGGACGGTCACACACGAGTCAATCCGTTCTAGAGTCGCATCGTCGCGTAAATCGAACACTCCCTAATGTTAATCCTGTCATTCGGACCTCTGCAACAGTATGAAAGGGTTAGGGGTTAGTGGAACGGTCCATTACAGTCTAAGGTACATATGATAGAAACAATTAGTTTCTTTGCAGATAGATATGCATGAAAATTCCTTATGTAGTTATTACCAACTATTTCATTTTTATTCTTATGTTTTTTTGTTTTTTTTTACATTATATTTTTTGATGGAATTTTTTTATGTGGTGGTATTTTATGTAAATCTTTAATATGAAAATGCTCAAAGTTTATTTTAATCAATTTTAAATATTTTTTATGTGAAACTGGGTGAGTGGGAAACGCTGACCTTGTGTTACACTGATTTGGTTCACTTTGCGTTTCCAGCCTACTCACCCAGTTGGATGTCATCTGTGTATGTGTTTTGTGATGTTTTAAACAATAAACGAATAAGAGTAAGAACCATGAAGAAAATACATTAATGTTATTCAGTAAAAATTTCTTAATCAACAAGGAAATAATTTTCTTGATTCAAACTAAAATCTAATAACTCAATGCATGTTTCTACTGAAAATTGAGTTAAAAATGGTTCTTGTACTGCTGGTTGGTATTTGGGTATTAAAATAAGGACAGCGAGTTTCAATAAAAATAACTTTTCAAGAACAATTCTTCTAGGTCGAGGTTGAAGTAGGTCGTATTGGGCTGCAATTTGTGTAGTTAAAACTGTGCCACAAAAACACTTTCTTTGCTTTCTGGACACAATTGATTTCAGCATGACAAAAGATCACTTTTTATGGACGGTTTTTATAGCCATATGGATTCATTCTTTTAAAGAACTGTTCCTAGGAACTGTTTTTCATACTTCAGTACACAAATTCATTCTAATATCGAATTCTACAAGTTTATCCTCTTTCAACACATTAGATCTTTAAAAGTTGTCGGTAAATATATGTTCTTTGAGAGAATTTAATATTTAAAATACATGAGTTAATATGTAACAAATATGCAAAGAAATACGACAAGAGTTGAAAAACTTAATCACAGGGTCTTGGGTTAATTCCTGCAACAGCAGGACATTTTCTCACAACTGAAATCAACTCCACTCCCTATGCCTCATAAAGAGACTTGGTTTATAAAGCATCCACCATTCTGTAATTTGTTAGTTACTTGCTGTTAGATGTGAATGAAATAAAAAATAAATAAAAATATGCATAAATTAAATGTTTCTCATTTACCTGATCTGTGACATCATACACCACTATAATCCCATGTGCACCTCTGTAATAACTTGATGTTATAGTTCGGAACCTTTCTTGACCTGCTGTATCCCACTACAAACACAAACATGTTTCACTAGGTTAGTTTAGAAATACACAATGTTAACATAGTTACAGTGTTTTTAAACCTAATTTCATGATATTAAAATCGGTATTGACATTACAGTAGTTTAAGAGTATCAATCATTTATAAATTTATTTACTTTATTATATTATATTTACTTTATTTTTTAGCTTTTCTTTTCCGTTCTTTCTACTTACATACCATGGTATATTAACAAAATCATTGGTATTGTTTATTGTCCATTGATTTATGTTCTCAATTTTAATAATTATAAGTTTTTCTGTGTATGTTGTTATCTTGTGAAAACACTAATTTTTATTGAGTGCCACCGATTTAAAGGTGTATGTTCAAATAAATATTATATTATTATTATAATAATATTAGACCAAACAGAGATATAAGAATGATATAAGTTGGTTCCTATCCAATAATGAATCTGGTATTCATAAATAAAATAATAAGAATTTGTTAATACTCAACCAATTCTAATGAAATTTTATTTTATTTTCAAGACTAACACATAGAATTAAAAAACACTAAAATCATAAATTTGAATTTTACCAACAAATGTATGGTTTTGCAGAGCTGGCCACATTAAAAAAAAAAGTTATGACGAAATATAATGAATAATCAGGCTAGTCAGAACAACTTACTATTTGCAGTTTGATTGTTTTTCCATCTAATTCTATGGTACGAATTTTCTGTGAAGATAAATGAAAATAATTAATTAGAAGTCACCTCAACTTGACAAGAAAAATACAAACCTCTAAAGATCATCTACCAAACATGCATTCAGTTCCTATAAGAATAAATATTCCTTGATGAGAGAAATACTCAGAAAAATATATCCTATCTGGAATTTAATTTGTTGTTATAATGTCTTATCCACCTTGAAAAATTTAAACACATAGTATAAAACAATTAGTCCCTTATTTAATACACTGCAGCAATATACAATTAAGCCCCAGCTACAGTGCAATCAAATTACGAAGTACTTACAAAATCTACACCGATTGTACTGATGTAGCTCTCTGTATATGTATCATCCTAAGAGTAAAATTGAAACAAATTATTAATGTCAACATCAACAATTATTTATACAGGCTTACTGAGTCAGACATGAAACTTACAAATTGCAGAACACTACAGGTATAACAAACCTTGAGGCATTCACAATATGGTCTTTAAAAATATGATATGACAATTTTTAAGAAAAATATTGAACACATCCACAATATATCACAAGCAATAGTCCAGACTATCACATTTTATTTAACTATTTATTTGTTGCACGCCTAAATATGGTCATGATGACATCACATCATGACTGCACAGGAACATCACTACTACAGTATACATGGGCATACAACAGTTTTTTCATCAATGAAAATTGGATTGTGGACAGTGCTTTATTAGGAAATAAAATAATGAATTTTAAATTAGAACTTACAGATGAGAAAATCAGATATTATAGAGTGCATGGATAGTTGACTGTCATGGGGATGAGTGTTATTTACTGTATTTACTTTATTTGTTATATATTTTTAGTCTATAAACACAAGTGTAATTCATAGATTTATAATAAGTTTTTTTTGTTAACCTGTACATGTTAAAACATTTAAAGGCAGTTAAAGCCCCATTCCCGGCAAAATTTCAATTTAAAAAAAAAAATCTAATTTTTGTATAATGTTATAAAGATTTATAAATATAATCCGGAATTGCTAGTTTAAGAATGAAAAAAATGTAAAATAAGACTGAAATTTGATTTTTTTGTGTTCCACACAAAAAATAAATGCGGATGAATTTTTCATGTTGATTTTGCGATAGGTCGTGAGAAAAAATATCGTAGGCGCCGAAAACATTAGCCTATCCAACGCTGCTGGCTAGGCCTAGCCTTACCTCGATTTATGTTCTGTTATCACACATAAAAACGGCTGACATGATATTTTCCGTTTGCTAGTATTGACACTTGTGAAATATAATATTTCATAGGAATTACTTCAACTTTGTTAAAAAACTGATTCTGACTGATATTTTGACACTTAAACAAACATATCTCAGCCTAACCGAACGACCGCATTGTGCGAGATGCGAAGTACAAAAAGTAATCTCATTAGAGAGGGCGCTCTTTATTGACTGTATAAAGTATACATAAAAGCGAGAGTATCCCAGTGGATGTGATCTACAACCTCTGAATTTGCCTAGTAACGATGAATTCGTTGAGAAAATGGTAATATTTTATGAGAAATAGTCTGTATTTCTCATTTTTTTTATTCTTTTGCGTAAAACTAAAATTCATGCCAATATTTTTCCATGACTTATAATAATTGGAGTAATGCAAATGCATATTTTCTAAAAAAAGTCATTTTTAGTGAAATTTTGCCGGGAATGGGGCTTTAACAATTGACAGACGCACTTAACAGAATACTTACAGCAAATCGTAGCAGCAGGCAAGATTTTCCAACACCAGAGTCACCAATTAGAAGTAATTTAAACAGGTAATCACTAAAAGAGAGAGAAAATAATTACTTAACAACTGTTTACCTGAAGCTTATACAGTATCCTTTCAAATGGTCAGTCCTGATAGCATGTTTATTTTATACATTTGAATTACGGTTAACTTTCATTGTCGGTCATGTCTGAATCTAATTCATTATTCTGTAGTCATTCTGCGAAAGGCAGAATGTCAACTGAAAATATCACATGACGTGTTGATGGATACTTAAGCTAATTCATCACAAATGCTAATCAATCAAATGTTCATTGAAGGAAGGAAATGAACATCAAGTAATGAAAACATAATAATGATATAAAATATCTTCTTAATATATTTAATATTAACATTTTTGGCTTAATTTTGTTCACAGCCAATAACATCATATAATCATTAAATTACAACATTTTTCAATGTTTGTTAACACTATTATAATTACTCAAATATTGTTTTATCATATTCATCTACACCATCACAACCAAATCATATAGTAAATAAAGATCTCTCTCATCAACTATCACAAATAACTCATTCATACCATAAACAAGATTAGTATCAACGGAACTAGTAAAAACTGAACAATCAGATCATGGAGATACATTGACATTTATACCAGCAAAATCACCCACTGTTTCTCTACAAATGGCTATCACTTTGTGGGACCATATTAATTAACAAAATCAAAGTGACGGAGCTTGCACCAGGCATTTTCCTTAGTTATTCAACATAAATCTTATCAGAGACTTTCTACAGTAGGCTATTAAATAAAATAAATCATGGGAAGTATGCAGTGGCAACATTTTTGGAACATATACAGTAATACAAGACTTGAAGAATATCTGCCATGAACTAAGTTCCATCTCATTCTTTTCTGACAGTGCCACTAGTCAATTTAAGCAGAAATATCTGTTAGAAAACATCACACATTTCAAGGACGATTACAACAGTAACGTTACTTTGAATTTCTTTGCCACAAGTCACGGCAATGGAGCTGTTGATGGAGTTGTTGGGCAAATAAAAACGCCTTGTGTACAAATCGATAAAACTATATAGGAGCAGTTGTTCATGATGCTAAGTTGTTCAGTGAGGAAGCAAGAAGACGAGCTACAGTACTTCAATCAACGTCAAGTTCATCTCTGCAGAAGAAATCTCTGACAAGGATAAACTTAATGGTACAGTAGATGGACAAATGTCAGCTCTTTGCCAAACACACACACAACCGACTTCATTCAAGTTGCCAAAAAGCATGTTGTGCGTTACTTAACATACGCAGCCCTCAAAATTAACGTCGGCATTCGGCAGTGCCGGTGTAAATGCCGGCGTCTAGGAACCCGTCTCCGGCAAAAAAATTGCCGACGAGCATTTACTTTTCAAACACCAATTTAACAGAAACGTACTGCTACTTTTCACGAATAAATTACACTAATTTAAAAAAAAAACGGAACTTCTAAGTTAATCCCTTACACACATGTAGCTGTTCTGTCTGTATTCTCCTTTGATTTTAGTGAAAGTGAAAGACGATCCCCAACTCACACGTTCTGCAGTGCGTTGCCAACATCTCCTAGAAAGAACAGCAAGTCGAGCGTGTTCGTCATCACCAAAGTTTGCTATCCTTTTGACTGTGGTGGCTATTATTTTAGGGATAAATATGCCCAGAGTATTTTAGTTTTAATTTGTTTTCACAAAAGTAACATGTAAACATATTTCAACATCCTTGGTTAGTGCTTATTTTATTACTGCGGCTAGCCTAGGTCTACCTAGAAATTCACAGCACTCTGGGGATCCAATGGTCCACGTAGGCGCGCGTAGGCTAGTACTTTGACAACTTTTTGAAAATGCCGACGTAGGACCGGCGTCAATTTTTTAACGTCGGCGATTTTTTGCCGCCATGCTTTATCCCTAATTTTGAGTGCTGCATACGCAACCTCAAATGATGTAAAGCAGTTTCTGCTGTCAGGACATCGTAATCTTGATGAGGATGCTCCATCAACCTCAAATTCATCATCGTCTGAATCACCTAATGCTGAACGTCTTCTAAAATGTGGTGAATTTGTATTTAGCAGGAACTAAGAACAGTAAAATCTTTAGATATGTGGCACTAATTACAGAGATTCATAGTAATGACTTGTATGTAACACATTTGCATTTAAGAGTGATGATGTAGGCAAAATATTTTCTGGCACTCGGTAATGTTCTTTAATTATACCCGCAAACTTAGAAAATTTGTCAAGTCCTGCAGTAAGGACCTATACAGTACTATTTCTATGCAGGACCTACAATATATAACAGCCTTCCACACCAGAGTTTACATATTACAAAGTATCTAAATCTCTCAAAAAATGTCATTGTAATAATTAATACCAACCAATCATTTCTGTGATGTTCACTGATTATCATCACTACCACAACTAATTCATCCGATTTCCTTAGATTATAGCTTGATACAAGAAACAATGTTAAGCATTGCTATAATTTATTATGGTAACCTGCAGTCAGCTGAATTTTCTAATTGTGCAGACCATCCTGTACAAAATACAAGTTAATGCACAGCTAACTGTAGCTTAACATGTGATTTCTACAACTTGCACTGAATTAACCAGAGAGCAGATGTTTTATATGCTATTTCAATAAAGGCATAATATTTATGATATGGATGTCAGATGAAATTCATGGGAGACTAATTTCTTGAGAACAGGAAGTGTTCAAAATAAGTGAATAAACCACCTCAAAATGCTACAATTAATAACCTTGAAACGCAATAAATATTAATTGTTATGATATACTGTAGCATGAACTCCAATTATGTGCGATATAGATGTGCCAATTGTTACTTTTCATTGAAATACATAATTAGTCACCACATGTGTGTACATTAGTACTTGCCAAGCTTCTTTTTTTAGGCTTCAAATGAATGAACAAAAATTGAATACTATAAAAAAGGTCTCGACTTATCGGAAAAATCTGAATTCATTGGATCTGTCTCTAGTAGTTTTGATACTTATTTGATGGTATGAATGGATACTATATAAAGTACATTTTTTTTTTATTATACTTTCGTATGGGTCTTATTTTTTATATTATGTTTCAAATTGCTTGCCCCTTTAGCAGACAGAATGCTGCAATTTCTATTTTATGTGCATTGTACTGTAGAATGTGCCTGTTAATTAATTAATTAATTTGAGTAAAGAATTTTTTTTTCACACACCATTTAGGTATTATACTGGTATTTCTATCAAATGACAACTATGCTATTTGGATAGGAAACATCTGCATGGCATGGCAACATACAGTGTAATAAAATGCTGGGGTTTAAGTTTTGTTATTGAAACCAGGATCATGAGCTGGATAATGTAATTAATACTATATCCATGCAGGTCACTGACCTACAGTAAGCACATATGTAGAACAATTTTAATAGTGTGTTTGAGGTTTGTGGTTATTTACCATATTATTGAGAAAATGATATGCAGTAGTTAGTATAATTGCATCATGTATCACCACTACTAGTAATACCTGTACAGTACTACAGTATTTCGTGAAAATAAAATCAATTTGGTACCAGTTCAATACAATAAATTTAACCAGATGGCAGCCAAAAATAAATAAATAAATCCCCCAAATAATAAAATCATTATTAGTATGATTACTAAGTATTCATAATTCAGTGATTAGATGGTTAAGAATAATTAAGGCATGTCCAAGTTCTCCATTTTCCAGTGGGATATAAATGTTTTTTAACACAACACGTGTTGTACGTGAACTTTTCACCGGGCAGATGGTTAAGCCTTACATTTTTAGGAATTCCACCGAATATTGGTATGAAAACAACGTACATTTAATCAATAAAGGTTGTTTTTATCAAAGGTAAATATGATTTAGATTTAGTTTAATGTATCGTTCATGATAGATTTGAAGAATATAAAGAATTTGCTAAAGCCAAAGGCAGACCATACCCAATTAGGCTGGGGCCAGCTGATTAGGCCAAGCCGTCACGGTAAAAGTGGCAGTCCTAAAATAATTTTTTGGAGAATCAATTTCAGACAATAATAGTCATTCACATTTCTGACAACGGTTGCGCCATGGCATGCATATGTACTACGCACATTAGACAAGTGACGCACCCTTCTCGGGGTCGTATTGTGCGTCATACAACTGATGGCTGCATTAAGATAGGCCTTTAAATAATCGGTCATGAAGTCAAAGGAATCAATGCTGTCAATTGAACTTCCTTGTTGAATATTGACAATTTTGTTGGACTGCATCATCTGGCATAGGCTTAGCCTACTAGGCCTAGTTGGCTATAATAATATAGTATGTAGGCCTAGCCTAATAAGCTAGGTTAGGTAAATTTATATTAAATTTTTTTATCATGATTATGTTAGGCGAGATAGGGAGGCCTAGCTTGGGCTCCTAGCTAGGCCTAGCCTACCCAATCAATATAATTGCCTCCCTGATGAAAAGTGGTTAGTTTTCCGTGGACGATGGGCCTGGCCAATTAATGTAACACCTTCATTTGCTTCCTTCTGCCATATATAACGGCAGACAGTGGAGTATACTGAATACACACTCTTTAAAAAACCTAAAACCTATGTAATGTTAGCATCATATACAATCAATAATTAAGGTGTGTTGTCCAGACAGACAACACTCTACATCATAAGCCTATTCCCGGACACTTTGCACTTCGATGGGTCGGCACAAACAATTGAACCCGAACACTGTTTCGACTCACCTCGACTAAATTATCCCATATTTCCTTTACATTTATAATATTCAATATTAACTTACTATTCTGGATTCATAGTGGACATAACACGGTTACCACCTCTTTCTGTGAAAACGGGGTTTTTTTTCAAAGGTTGTTAAATTATAGAGAGATCAATGACTACAAATACGATGTGTTTTATAGCGAAATCTGGAGGAAGTTCAAAATGGCGTCATATCTAAGGATATTTAGCATTACGTCGGAGAGGGGATTGGGTAATTGGTTTATGACGAATCAAAACGACGTGGCATCATGTGATATTGAATCAAATTGTTGGTGGCGCTAAGTGCTGTATGATCAAAAAGTTTCTACGAGTCCTGGGCCACGTCGGGGGTGACTAATGATCCAGGCAGTCTCTAAATGCCAAATATGCTTCCTCCATCAAATCCTAATAACAAAAACTTAAGACATAATTCACTTATCACCTCAAAACGTTGCCGTACCATAAGTTACCAGAATTCACCAATTCCATATATTACCTGGCTGCTCAATTCCTGATCCTCTCCGGTCCTGGTCTGTCTTGCTCTTGGGACCAATGCAACACCGGCTTTCGGACTCATGAGTGCCAAATTGTTGGTTTCTCAGAATTAGTATTTTTATTTATATTTTTATATATTTAATGTAATCTTTTATGTATTTTGTAAATGTTCTTTCTTAATTTGTAATTTTTATGTTTTTGTGTAATTTCATTGTTTGTAATTAAGCCCTTTATATTTTTGTAAATGCAATAATTTTAGCCTTTGGCTACTTTTTGTATTATTTTTATACCTGAATAAAATAAAAAATAAATAAATAAATAAAAAATAAATAGGCCTATTTAGTATTAGGCCTACTCTAAAATTTAAAATAATAGTTAATGTAATATTGAAAAATTACATTCATTTCCAATTCTAATGTAATAAAACCTCCTACAGACCGCGCTACAGACAGAAGGCCTGGACGATTAATAAAATATTGGGGACACCCCCTCCCCCAGTTGGCCAGAACATATCGATAATGTGACCACTGAATTATAAATGGATAATCACAATTGGCCTAGACCTTAATTTTAGATCGACAAATTTAAACTTAACACGATCAAGATTTCGTGGGGAGATGGAGAAAGAAAACAATGTAAAAGAAAAGTACTGGTTCATTCGGCCCCTGTCGTGGACAGATGAAAGTGCGCCGGTTTACTGGCTGCTGAAGACATGAAGTGACTGCGATCGTATCTAGCAGTATTAAAATGGCGGAGGGGGACTGGTGGGT